AATGTTATATTTACCTACTAAATATGGGTAATATAGATTATATATTTAGAAACCCAAAAATGGTTTGGATAAATATAAAAATTTTATAATATTAAAAATCTCTTATATTTATCCTTATTTACCACCCATAATCATGCCCTTAGAAATCCAAAAATGGTTTGGATAAATATAAAAATTTTATAATATTAAAAATCTCTTATATTTATTGACCATCTATAAAAAAAAATATCATCTTATGAAAAACAAAGTCACAATGCAATGGCAGAATCGTAATTAAAATGGAAACAAAGATCTTACCCTTGGAATTGAGAAACCGTGAGGTTGTCATCGATAACTAAGAAACCCCGAATCAGGTCTGCCATTTTTGTAGCTGTTGGATTTATCTTCAACGAAAGAACAAAACCTAGAAGAATAAATCGGCTCGGAATTGTKAAAGACCCAACTTCCATCGTATATGTCGCAAGAATTCAGTTCTTTGGTCGCAAAATCAATCTTCGACTCGTTCTTGACCCAAATTCTTCTCGGAGAAACAGAATAGAGCGTGTTTGTGTCTGAAGCAGTCGAAGAAGAAGAAGTTAACCGCCGTGAGAAGACGAGAGGTGAAGGTTGAGACGATGAGTGAAGGAGAGAAGGAAGAGGAATAAAAAGAAAAGAGAAGTCAGTAAAACATATGTCTTTGATGGGTGTTCCGTGATGGGGAAGAGATTCTTAAGATCCGCAATTGAAATGTCTTCGAATCTTGTTCTTCTTCTATGTTTTCAGGGGAAAAAAAGAAACATTGTTTCTTCATTTTTTTTTTCCTTTTTAGATTATTAATGGTTATTAAACAATAAATTAAATTGTGACAAAAAATAATAAATTAAATTATTTTCTTAATTAAAATAATAATTTACAACTACATCATCAATTTTAAACGGAATATGAACAGTTCGTTAAATTTTATGTAGTTTCGTTAAATGTTATGATGGCACGTACTCGGAAGTCACTTTGATGGTTTATTGTATTAATAATGTCGAGTTGAAGGTTTAAACTGTTAGTAAAAAAATTTGAATGTTTAAAGTGTGAGTGGAAGCTATCGTTGAGGTTTTTTTATGCGATTTTCTTTTATCTATTATATAATGGGAGAGTTTTCTCTTCATTTAAATTGTCCACATAGACAAAAAAATATTTTTAAAACATTAAAGTTTTTAAATATTTATTTAATACACACTAAATCATATTTAATGTTTTTTATAACT